CTTTAATAAATTGATAATTCAATAATTTCATTTTTTAACAAATAAATTATTTATATTACATTTAAGTGTAAAGTTCAACAATGAATAAAACTCATGCGTATAGTTTTATTATTATTTATCACTAACTGTTAAAATATTGCAAAATTAAAATGAAATTAAAATGCCAATACCTTCTTAAATAAAAAATCGTAAGTATAAATGACCTGTCAAAATTTATAAAAAATAAACCGTACATAAATCATATTTTGAAAATATAAGTCCCCATTTAGTTTTTAAAAGTTACCCCAAAAATCTTCCTTTTTTAATTAATAAAAAAATATATTCAAAATTTTTTCTAGATAATATGATTTTAAATCGTTTTCACATCGTTAATTTTTGCCTAATTTAAATATTTCATAGTGAAATTTACTGTCACTTAAAATTTAGAATACCTTGAAATATATACTTACATATACTACGTGTGTTTATATACACGAAAAAGTTATATTGTACGTGTATATTAATATTGCCACGTTCACCATAGCTACCCTTCAGTATGCTCATAACTTATTCATGGACACGTCAACTTCCCCCAAGGCTTTGATATTCATCCGGCAGTATGAGATACAGGTGCATGCAAGCAGGATAGAGTATATAAATGAGAAATGGGTTTAATTTAAAATGCATCACGTTATATTGGCTCAGAATCTTCCACGATCCAAAATCGTTGGGCGAGGGTAAGATGTATTTTTATTTATTTAAACTACAAAAGCTATTTTATATGTTTATAGTATATTATGTCATTTGTTTTAAATGGATCTAGAGTACGAGTAACATATATATATATATATATATTAATGGATATATTTATCATTTATTTATATAATTTACTATAGCATAATATAATAATATATATATTATTATTGCTCTCGTTAAAAATAAAAATGATAAAAGAAGAAGAGTCGTGTCCTGAAGTTCGTTCACAGTGATATTGAAATATATAATAATCGGACATTTCTTAATGAAAATGGCTTTTTTTTATCATCTCAAAAAAAAAAGTCCTTTAAAAAAAAGAGCTAATATACGCAGTTGTGATGTATACAGTGGTTTTACAAGTTGTGGTATGTACGAATGGAAGTGGGAGTGGATTTGAAGTCGGACAGAAACAGTTGACCTATATTTGATTTTCTCGTAGGCCAAAAGGTCAAAGGTATAATATGATTTTTCACTATTCTACCTATGTAATATTATGCTACTTTTATAAAAATGAATTTTTAATATAATAGATTTTGGTATGTATTACTTGATATTGTAGATAGTTACATATTCAACTTATGAAACTTTATTAATAATAATTAAATACTTCTTTGTAAAACGTCTTATATCCATCTTATTACTTACTATTATTATCATAGTAAACTCTTTTATATTTCAAATTACGAATATTACATAATTACATTTATATATATATAATTTATATTATATGAAAATTTTTTTTTTAATTTTACATACTTCAGTTATTTTTAAGTATACGTCAAACAATGCGTTTCTTCACATGACTTCGTATGTATTTATACAATTTAATTGCACTAACAGTAAAATATAGTAGAAGTTAACGGCAGTATAACACATTATGTAATATTATTGATATTTTTAAAGTATAAATAATAAAAAAAGAACATAATTTTTTTAGTAAATTTATGCATTGGCACACACTGCAGCAGTAATTTAAGAATAAATATAATTTCTGAAATAAATAAAAATTTAAGTACCTACCTATTTAATTTTAGTTTGAAACTAAAAACATTATTAGTTTTAAATTTAATTGATTAATTTTAACATATAATATGTTAATTCACTTTTATTATTAGGTATATGAAAAATATATAGGGTAATTTTATTATTTAAACACAAAAAACAAGACTATTGTTGTATTTTTGAAAATAAATTGCCAAGTTCGATGATAACTATATTTTATAGTTTATATTAAACCTATTTCTCAGTAGAGTTACACAATTCCACAAAGTATTCTTTGCAACTTCATACCTCGTATTTCTACTTTGACTACTTTTGAATAAATAAAATATTAATGAATGATTCATGTACTTAAATATTAAATTTAAATAAATCAAAATGATCATAAAATATTTTACTTGAGAATACGAAATTAAAAATATAGTTGATTTGTATTTATAAATAGTTTAACTGTAACGATAACAATAAAATATTAGATTTATTTTTTTTTAATTACATACTATTTTAATTAAAAATATAGTTGATTTGTATTTATAAATAGTTTAACTGTAACGATAACAATAAAATATTAGATTTATTTTTTTTTAATTACATACTATTTTAATTTAAAATATTGTGTAGGTATATATTAAATTAATAAAAAAAAAAATTGATTTCAAAAATAATCTGGAATAATGAGTGTTCTTTCTATAAACCATGCTACATATTATATATTCTATAAATATAAAATTTAAACATTTTAAATAAATCATAAAAATTGTATCTATAATATATATAATTAGTACGAATTATATGAAAGTATCGCTTAGATTATTAAAATACGTTAGAATTATTTCAGTTGCTAATCATATATTAAAATAATTATAAACATAATTTTACAATTTTCAAAACGAAAAATTTAGTTAACAATTCACAATTCACTAATATTGAAAATATAAATACCCATAATTGTATAGGATTAATTATCATTGTTTAATAGTCTATATATTATCTGTAAATTGAAAAAAAAATACTTAAAAATTCAAAGTAAAATAATTTAAACGTTTATGTTTGATAATTTACAAAATTAGTTACGTCTTAAAACATAATGCTATGTTTATATAATATTAAACTCAATATTCAAAAAACCAAGATATATGAGACGTTTATTATGATTTATATGGGACTATTGTATTATTTAGTACTAAACTCCTTGTTACTTTTTAATTATTTTGTAAAAATCAAATAATTTATACTTTTAACTTTTTGAATTCGAGCTATAAATAAAACCATTAAAATGTTTCTACGTATTATATTTACTGTAGTAAATTTAATTTCACTTTAGAAATGAGTTATAAATTACAATGATTTCTATTTTTGTGTGCTTACAATCGTAGGTACATATACCTATTAAATATATTTATAGTACATAAACATAAAATTAACTATCTAAAAAAAAAATTAGCCCTTGAACATCATATTTATAAATTCGCCTGTGTTCTTTTCTAAAAGTGATAGGTGCCTATATATTAATATATTATAGTTGATAAATAAAATTTATTGGATACACAGATATATTTCTGGATTATTTATTACTTTATTCAATATATTGGAAAAAATTACAATATTGTGTTAATTTTAATTAATTATTTAGTACCTGCTTTACTATTCTTGAATCTAGTATGTTTTATTGCTATTATAATTTATAATACATATATATTTTGTCTAATGACTAATTACGATTTACGTCACTTCATAATAATAGCTTTACTCTAGTCAAACATTGATTTTTTTCTTTTTTGAGCAGAGTAAATTTATAATCATTTTTATAGAATAGCTTTAAATGTGATATATTTTATTAGTGTTTTAAATTGATAGTTTATAGTGTAAATATCGATTTTTTTATAATTAATATATAACTATCTTATAAAAAATAAATAAATATTTAAAAAAAGCGTAATAAGCAGTATAGGTAACAGGCAACAGTTTATAGAACCGTAATTGATTATGAATTTAAAAACACCATTCACCATTTTTTTTAAATTTTTTTTCTATTAAGCTCAAGATTTTAACAATTTCTATTTCCATAGATTTCTATCTGTATACTTATGTAGTTGTTCAATTTGTCGTTATTTTTAAATTATTTAAATCATTACAATTCGGGATTACAGTGCAATTTTAAATTTAAATAATATATAAATATGACAATATATTATTACCTATTTATGACAGGTTCAAAAAGTAAAAGTTGTTGAAGATAACTTTTGATATGCGTGCTAGTATGAATCGATAAGAAATGATCATTATATTATAATAATGGTTCATAGTACTAGCTGTAGTGTAATATAGTATAAATACATAGAAAACGGACATTTGACACTCGACAATTGGCCATACATTTGGCAGAACAATTGACATCTATACAATAGACATTCGATACCAAAAATTATGAGTAAAAAAACAAATACTTTTTAAGGTACTTTGAAATTATTGTAATATTGTCTTTCATATAACACAAAGCACGCTCAATTTCTATTTGACAACTGTCAGCATTATGTGAATATTTCGAAATGCGTATTACTATATTCTTAAATTCATTTGCGCTCAGTAATGATACTGGTACTGAATCCTTTGCTACATACATTTTTCTATTCAATGAATGCCCGACGTAAGTTTCATATTTTTTTTTTTTTAAACAAATATAATTGGTACAATTTATACGTTTTAGAATTATTTATATAACTATAAATTCTTCTATTTTAAAGTTAATTTTATGTATTATAATTTTCAGTCACTCATAATACTCAAATTAATACTTACCTATTTACCTTCTAAATTAATAACTATCTATCTTAGTGAGTGGTGGATTTATTGTCCTTCCTGTTACAAGTATTAAATATATGTTACATTAAATTACCAGGTAGGAGAAAAATATTTTAATTTCATAACAGCGTATGTAATATTATTTATCAGATTATATCATAAATATTATGAAAACTCATTTTTACAACTAATTTAAAACTATACATTATTTATAGTATATTTTACTTTATATATAATACGAAGACAAAAAATATTTATGAATCGTATAATAATTTCATCAATGTTATTCTACTTATGATTGGCGTCCTCTCCGACTATACTGCACGCAAAAAAAAATGTATGTAGCTTACTATACTACATAATTTATTTATGTTTCTGAGTAACAAATCGATCAAAATGTCCTAATTAACTTAATGGATTAAAAACTCATGAACGTTGAAAATAGTATTTTTCATTTTTTTCAGGTTAATGGGGTAGTTTTACACGGAAGATGTCACCTAAACGCCTCAGCCATTATCAAAGGTATACCAGGACCGATATACAAAATAATTGTGCTCAGGTATACTTTGGTTTTAATATTATTTAATGTAATTTTCATTTATGTAGAGATTTTTTTCAATGTATTACATTTTTTTTAACAACGCTTAATATAAAGTCTAGACCACTTAATGATTTAGGTCAGAAATGTTTATAATAGTTTAACTTAACTTTTAAATGTGTATTATAGGAAACCTACGGCCCTGGACGAATTAGCCGTGCGACCAATCACTCAATTTCCTATTACATTAGATGACGAGGTTAATAACTTAACTAGTTTTATAGTATTTTCATCGCTTTTATTCAACAACAATTAAAAATAATGTGTTTTTTTGGCAGACGCCAGAGGAGAAGTATGCCAACTACAAAGGCCTGCGGGTCGTTACTATGAAGAAGGTAAATATTTTTGTTTTGATGCTTCCTATAAACATAATATATAATATATACCTACTTATAATCTATATACATTATATAACCTTGTAAAATATAAAATTATACTCCTGTATAAAATAATAATGGGCATTTGGCTCTTATTCCTATACATCTTAGACCCTTATAATTTTAATACATTACACGATTTGTGAAATTAATAAAAAAAAATCTCCGAGTTTTGTTCACACCAACACAGCATTTAATTTGCCCATTTCCAAAACATTAGATATATATTTATTATTATATTAATTATGTACTCGTATATAATAAACACGCTCAAAAATTTATCACAGAATTAATCACTTATATAATGTTGTGTAGTACAGTTGATTTGATATGTTTCCTATAGCCCTGTATCAGTTTTACATACGAAGGCCAAATCACAAATTCACCTACACAACAGGTAAAAGAACACAGCACACTGGATCGTTGAATGATGGTTTTTTTTTCTGCGTATAATTTGTTCTGTTTATTATTATTTATATATATGTATGTATATATATATATATATATATATGATATAATAAACGTTGTGTTAAAAGAAAAGTGTAACCCATATCGATCGTAGGAGGGCAACCGCATTGAAAATAGTGAAAATGGGGATATATAATTTAATTGTATCATGTTATTATTGTGCAGAATATAGATTTTTAATTTTGTACAATACGTACGACTAGTGATTATATTTTTTTAAAGGAAGAAGCTAAAATTATATATTATTACTAGATTACCATTTTTTAAATACACAGTAAAAAATTTATGTACCCCATTTTTAAATCCATTTTTTTTTAATACTCATTTAACATTTTTTAACACCATAAAAAAGGGACAATTTTATTCCTTCTATTGCCTTCTAAAAATAATTTTCAGTGTTTTTCATTTCATCATTAAATAATTAATGAAAATTCTAATTATAAAATAGGTACCTATTAATTAAGAAAGCATTTATTTTTAATAGGAAGCTATGTTTATTCTATAAAGGAATTTATACAAATTACGCTATTTTTGTATTTTATATTCTGAGCGGAACGATTAATGTACTTGTATTACAATAATGAATATTTTTAGTGCGTTTTCCTAATTTTCTCAGATTAAATCGGCTCGTGCTACTATCTACAATTTTACTTTGAATTGACAGTTGATTTTTCTATACTTTTATCCCAGAACATCAGCGTACGTATATGATACTACTTTCATTTAATTAAACGAAAACGATAGGACATTCATGTAGGTACGCATAAAACAAGTAGAAATACATAACGTTATAGTATGTAGTTACCTCTACATGTCAGTTATTCGACGATCATCGTTATAATTGCATTACTGCACTCAAAGCGTCTGCCCTCCTGCGCAGTGTTCTGCTAAATATATTTGTAGAATATGATATATGAGCTGTAAACATTGACCGTTATATTTTCATTTTGCATGCGTTTTATATTATTAAACATATATGTGTGACATCTGACCATTGCTGCGAGTGTTTTAAGTTTGAAAATATGATCTAGAGTTTTGATACATTTATATATTAATATACTGTATGTAGTATGTATGTCACAAAAATAAAATAAAAAATTTTTTCTTAAATAATAGCAATAATACTTTGGATTTTTATTCCAGAGTCCTCATGGTCTTGGCATAATGATTTTGGAGGGGAAACACGCGGAACTTGGCACAGGTATCTTCATATCTGATATACAAGAAGGAAGCCCAGCTGAACAGGTGAATTTTATGATATGGTTTTTGAAAAAATGTGGTGTTATATATTTCGCGTTTTCCTGCACCATAATAAATAATAATAAGAGAATGATATAGTTCCACGTCATTTCAGCTGTGCAAATATTTGTCAAAAAAAAAAAAAAAAAAAAGAAATGGGTTTATCTGTTACTGACATAATAGTTTAATACAATTTATTTTACAATCTTTTTTACAACAAACATGTCTATACTTCCTTTACAGGCGGGTTTGACGGTAGGCGATTTGATTTTGGCTGTAAATAAAGATACACTTCTGGGAAGTACGTACGAAGCGGTGAGTAATAATAATAAGTAATAAGTACCTAACAGAAATAATGACACAGCTATCAAATGTATAAAAAAAATTAGAACTCATTTTTACATTGAATAAACGCGATTTTACAGGCATCATCGTTGCTGAAAAAGACTGAAGGTGTCGTAACGTTAGTGGTATGTAACCCGCGTAAAGACGAGGTTGTAACGGCTACAGATCAGAAGAGCGCCGATAAACCTAAACAACCGGAAAAACCGAGTAAGTTGAACGCTATTCGATCTTTGAAAATATATTATGTTTTATTTTTTGTTTTATTTTTGTTATATTAAGCTATATATAAATTATTTAATTTTTGCTGCATGATAACATTCTTGCATACGTTCGCATGGATCGTTGTTATTATTTATTTTTTCTGTGAGTAACGTTTTAAAAATATACTAACAATAATGTTAAATTTTTACGTATGTATACGATAATTATTAATAAAACCATTTAAAATCTAGAATCTCAATCACCCGTTTGTTTGGACCATTCAGTCGAACCGCCACCAGATCCTGCGACCGCACCAATAAAACCTGGTTTTGAATCAACAATTGAAATCAATAAGGACAAAGTCGGCTTGGGTCTCAGTATAGTAGGCGGATCTGATACATTACTGGTAATTATAATCATTAACTTATACCCAACAATAATAAAGTAATAATAATTATTACTATTATTATTAAATGCAATAAATATTTAAAGGCTATCTGAAAATATTATGTACAAAACATTTTAGAGCTTGTGAAACAATATTTCAGTCGCGTGTTGTGTCACTGCAATCTGCTATATTGTGCTCTGCAATGTATTATATTATATTTTATTGATTATAATTCATGTTAAAAGGATGTAGTCATTATTCATGAGGTATATCCAGACGGAGCCGCTGCCAAAGACGGTAGGCTCAGACCCGGAGATCAGTTAGTGGAGGTGAATGGGGAAGACTTTAGAAACATAACGCATATCAAAGCATTGGGCGTTTTACGGCAAACACCAGCAAAGGTACTTATTATTATTATATTATTGCATGTATCCAATATTACAATTCGGTATAATATATTGCATACACTACACATTATTTATAAGATTATATTATAATTTATAAGCAATATATCTATCTATTTGATCAGAAATTGTTTTCTTTTAAAATTGTATAGAAGGAGAACACTTATTTGCCAGTATTCTAAATGCAATTGTTATATGTTCGAGAATAAAATTACATATTTTTATATCTATTCATAAGCAACAATATTTTTATAAAAAATACCTAACATTTTATTAATTAAAGAACAAATTATATTTATTTACGAAGTATTTCAGGTTAAAATAAGATACAAATAAAGATAAAGGATTTAAAGATATTCTACTAGTTATTACTTCTCATACTAAACTCTGCAGTCTGTAGTTTATCTAAACTTTAAATAAAGTTGTAATGATGAATTATAGTTCAATATATTTTATTTATGTAGCCGAATGGCATATTTTCATAAATGGTATTATACACACTATTAATATGACAATATATTATAATAATATTTCTTACTTGAATATATTGCTGTGTAATGTTAGCTATTTAATTGCTGACATATATGTGTATAATATATATATATTTATATTTATATATATTGAATTTCTCAAAGGTGACCATGGTCGTGCTGAGAGACGAGTCGTGCGTTCCAGATGAAAATGGTAGTATTTCCGCAGACACGACGAACATCACCGACGCGTTCGATGTAGAATTGACAAAAAAGCCTAGCAAAGGGCTAGGATTGAGTATAGTGGGCCGGAAATCCGGTTCGGGAATATTTATATCGGACATCGTAAGTGGCATTTCCCGTGGGGTAAACATGATAAATATGACGTTGATTTTTAAAGTTCTTAAAAAATAGTATAATAAAAAAGTATTTAACGTAATTAAAATACAATGATGTAAAAATGTACTAACAATTTCCACAAATGGCTTGATAGTGAAAATAGAAAAAACAAAATTTGATTTCTTATACATGTTTAAATTAATATAGTATACATAAGATTAGAAAATAATAAAAATGTTTTTCTGTACCATCCCATAAAAATGTATATTGTATTCGGTCATTTCATGTAATAAAAAAAATTATAAACTATGGAGGATATATTACAATTGTAACCCAATTGATATTATAATAATGAGTAGTAATTTCAGATTTAAGTCTAGGGTATTTTATCATATACATACAAGTTATCTGCATGATTACCTATTGTTACTTGTGTATTTTTGCAGGTGGTGGGTGGTGTGGCCGGCGTTGATGGCCGTCTGATGAAAGGCGATCAGATCTTGGCAGTCAACGGCCAAGACGTACGGAATGCTTCTCAAGAAGAAGCCGCTGCTGTACTGAAGACGGCGACAGGCAGAGTCATTTTGAAAATGGGTCGTCTCAAAGCTCGCTCGTCCACGTCTAGTTCAGACAAGTAAGCCCCGATATAAAATATATTACCTTTATTGTATATTTATATTATATATATCAGTGGTGTAACTTAGCAAATGTCTTATACTATGATAATGACAATTTTCAGTTCTCTTTTTGTCTTTCCCACTTTGCAAGAGTTAGTATTCTGTATCCTATTTTTTTTAGAAGTATTATATCTATAATATACAAAAAAACCAAAATTTCTATGTATCCACCTCAAATTTTAAAACATTTTCGAGTGTACTGAACTATTTTTTTATTTGAAATGTATACGAGTAGTCAGAAAATAGGAAATTTAACAAAAGTAAGTTATGCCATAAAAACATGTTACTTATATTAAAAATTTAAATTTAACTTTTTTTTTTAATTTAATAACATTTAATCGTGATACTAACGTTTAAGCTTCAGTGCCACGGCAATCACAGCACTTTATCAGCGATCCCTATATACTCCCTAGTTGTGCCACTGATATACATGCTATACATACACACCTAATATTTATTATTATAAATTATAATATATATGAGAACGAAAGAAACAAATTCGTAGGAATTATATTACAAAGAAAAATATAATTGTAATTTATAACAATAATATTGTGATGCCAACTCATTGAGATGTTCAATAATCTTATTTTTTCATGCTTATTTCCGGGAATACGCGTAGAAAATGATTTTCATGTTCTGTAAGTAAAATGCCTTTGTAAGGAGTTATTGCTGTAGAAATAGTCGTGTGTATGTGTGTAATATTTTTGTAGCAAAACTTATTCTGATGATATCATATGTGTAGCAATGAGCTACTTATCAACTCGTTACTATTATGTAATATTATATGCGTGCGCTGTGTTGTTGTCATCTGACATGATTTTTTTATTTGTTTATACCTAATGCATGAATTATAGACGTTGTGAGTTCTTTACATTTTTTTTTTTTTGTGTGTTTATTATTTTAATATTTTATCGCATTGGCGTAGCTAAACGCGTTAACACTGTTCGGTTAATTACCATTTGTGTTTCGGGGCCACGTTGCATATTATAATAAATTAATAACCATGCGCGTCGTAGTTGCTTAATGAGGCAGTAGATAGATCTATTATACATTATGTTGCTGCTGATCGCGAATTCGTCGATCGGCGGTACCGCCTCGGCCTTGTGTTCAACAGACAATAACTATCTGTTTGTGTATATATCATCATATTGTAATCGATTAGGGGCGGCAGTGTTCTTGTATTATTATGGAACCATCGTCATTATATTAAGTATAGGTATATAATTTAAAACTGTTGTAACGCAATACCATAGATTTCGTCATTTTTATTTCATGAAAATAGCCACGTGACCGTATAAACCAACGTGCCTATGTAGAGGTGTATGAATAATACAGTTGTCGATTTAGATAACGAGATAAATACACTTATAGTTTATCGAATTAATATTGCGAAATCTCTTCGACTTAGTAACGCGTACCTATATATGTAGAGCTCCCCATCGTCGTACACTGTAATAGATATATTTCAGTATAAACATTTTAGAAAATTGTAGTCATGTCCTGTAAAGTAGTTTAAGTAATCAAAAATGTATTTTCAAGCCATCCTATTATTGAAGGTAAAAAAGGTCATGTACTTAAAAATAATCTTATTTTTACACCTATTTTCCTTCCTTTTGAGCGATTTTATAAATCGGGTTTAAATGATAATATTTTATAACTTTATTAGTTAAATGCTGGATGTACATTTAAAAATATTTGACACCATTTTCTAGAGTGTTTTATAGAATAGCTCTATTGCCGTCCTCGTCTATCATTTATTTTAGAAAATAGTATTTTTTAATTAATTGTAGCTACCAAGAGTTTTAACAATTCTATATTCAAACCACTGCAAGAACATCTTTTGCAGTATTTTGCTAACAGCCATTGCTTACAATTTATATCATATTTTGTCATCGCTATATAGGTATTCACAATTTGTAAGTTTTCAATAATTTCCCCGCAATATAGACGTCAAGGATAGAGAATATAATAGAACAACAACATGATCAAGACAAATACAAGCGATTGTCATCAGACAACGATGACACATGAAACACTTTCCTACCCACTTCACAAAAATATTTAATTTCATGACACGATAATATAAAGTAATAAATTAAAATTACTATTCGTAAATTATAGAAAATTTGGGCACAATTATTATCGTTTTTCTACAACGGGTCACAATAAAATTTAAATAAATATAGACTAAACCTATTCTTGATTTCTTGAATATTTACCTCTTTAAGATAAAAAATATAGCCATAGACTTTTACCCCTTCCAACCATTTTTTTTTCAAATTAAATTAAATTTCTTAAATAAAAATGTTAGAGTAATTTCTTTTGATCATAAATCAATCATATTTGACGAGTTTCGAATCATAAACAACTTTTGTTGACGTCCACAAGAAAATAATATGTATGTATCCTTTTATACTTTTGAGTACAATAAATGTAGAATTTAAATAAAATATATAAGTATCTGCATTATTACTTACATTAGGTACTAAATGTATTAAAAAGTTAAATTTTAGTTAAATACCTACCTACAGTTTAAAATTTAAACAGCAATTCTAAATCAAAGAATAGTTTGAATTATTTATGGGTTATTGGTAAAAAAAAAAAAAAAAAAAAACAAGAGTATCTCCGTGAACCTCTGAACCTAAGGATCTATTTATAGAGCATACAAACTTGTTAAAAAAAGAAACCATACTTTACATAATATAATGTATCAGTCAATTTACTAACTCATTATATTTTTAATTTATATTCATACCCAACTATAATGCTTGACTTGGAAGAGAAATAGTAGAGGTACTCTTATTAGTGATTATAGCACATAAAAAATTTGCTTACCTTATTCAAATTCCGAAAATAACCGTATTGGTCCCCATAATTTCTTTTATTATGTCTTCCAACATAGTTTAGATATATTTATATAACTACAAATCAACAAATATTTCATAACTTATTATTCTTACTTTCAAAGTTTCCACCATAACTTCAATATATATTTATAATAATATTATTTGTCTAAAGTAGATCAAATCTGTCCAAAATTATAAAAAAACCATATAAATGCTAAGCTGAAATTGCAAGAGAGATCCAATGTTTCAACAAAATCAAAACAATTAATTTAACAGTGTTAACAGATATGTTTTATTACTTTTTAGACTTAATTTAACAAATTTAATAAATGAGAAAATTTTCATTTAAATGAGAGTCTACTCTTGTCTTACATACTTTATTTGCAATCCTTCCTTTAAGAATTCACGATGACGCATAGTTGACTCATCATGGGCGGCATTTGGAGGGGACGAGGAGGCAGTTGCCTCATCAGAAAATATATTGAGAGGGCAAACTTATCATTTTGCCCCCCTTCTAAGTTAAATATTATTTAAACAATTTTTAATTTTTATAAAATATTTATGTTGAAATTATTTTTGTACAATTATACTAGAAAATTATTCCCCGTGTAAAGTCAGATCAATATTATCAATATTACCTACCATAGTACCATACATTAATATAAACTATTGTAAATTCTATAAAATATAAGACTAAAGGAGTGTGAATTGTTATCTGTTCTTATTTAGATAGTAAGTAAGTAAAAATTTAGGTGGAATGTATTAGATAAGTTGAATATGAGAAGATTTTTAAATGGGTTAATAAATTGCGATTAATTAATTAAACTGGAACATTCAGTTACCCTACGCCCTCTCCCTAGACAAGTACTATCCATAACCTGCCTGTCAGCTATAAGTATATCAATATATCATTAAACTTACTGTTGTATGATACAATAATATTATTATATCGATTGATTAATATCGTGTTTTTATATTTTTTTTTCTCGTCATTATTGTAACGATCAAATAGCGACTCGGCGGCGTCTATGGAAGAAACGCGCACCGTGACGATGGTACGTAGGATGGACGGGTTCGGATTCAGCATCGTTGGCGGTCACGGCCACCTGCCGATTTACGTCAAAACTGTGTTCTCCGGCAGCGCAGCCGACTCGAGCGGGCTGTGCCGCGGCGATAGGATTTTGGCGGTTGACGGCGTGTCAGTGGAGGGCATGGGACATGATCAGGTGGTCGCCCTACTCAACGAAGCGGTCGCGCCCGTTACGCTCACCCTGCAGTCGTAGCCTCCCCCGCGGAGGATAATGTGTTTGAGTACTTTAATATTAATTAATAAATTTTAAGCGACATCACCGCACTGTTCGTGATTCGTTTGATGTAAAACGCTCATTATTTCAAAAGACTTTTACATAATTTAATGTTGTCACAAAACATCAATAATATTTTTTATCGGTATAATTTTTTTTTTTTTTTGACGACTACTCCTTTGAATGACAACATGCATTTTTTTAATTTCATATTCCTAAGCAAAATATTATTCTGAGTATTTTGAACTATTATTTAAAGTTGGTTTATTTAACAATGCATGCTGCCATTAAAAAAAGTAAAAATATAAAAATATAAAATTTTAGAAAAATTTTGTTTTGTGATGACTTAAAATAAAATTATGCAAAAAAAATGTTTTCAAAAACAAATAGTTCTAGAAATAATGAGTTTCTTACGTTAAATGAGAATCACTTGGTATAATGTATAATACGTACCTGGTATCCAAGTCATTGTACAGCACTATCCCTTCCTCTCCTCTTACCGTATCACGATGACGATAAAAATAAAAAATATAAATGCGATCCATACACTCTCGGGTTGTAGAGGCAGGTACCTACCTAATAATATCATTCTGATATTAAATCTATTTCCAGACGATCATGTGGTTAAACTATGATATTATATGATTATAATAATCCGAATTTCTGATTCGATCTGGACACTGCCTATCTGAAAATGTACCCTGACTTGACATTTTTCTCGGAACGGTTATCACTAAAATGGACTGTCTATAACAAATAGTAGGTACAACGACTGCTACTGCATATACTCGGACACTCGTGCGTCGAATTTAACACATTCAATGCATATTGAATAATAATTTCGTGTTTGAAAACCTGCATTTTGTACTTATTTAGAAAGGAAAATCGAAAAAATTGCTAGTTGGTCGTTTAAATCTCAAAACAGATTTTTTTGTTCGTTTATAATCCAAATTGGCCAACTATATTCCAGATTGAATAACGGTGTCAGTATCTATTTCAATCCGGATCAGCAGGTTGATATGATTCGCACTAGACATTTTAAATTTTTTAACACCGTCCTTTGCGGTTTATCGCATTGCTATGATCGTGTAGGAGAAAGGCGGGGAATAGCCTCTTAACGTCCGCGTTTCTTCCCATCACGTTCTGTAAATATAGACGTACACAACCTTAATCCTATGTATTTTATTATGTAAACGTACGAACTCCAAATTCGTCGAAATATATTTTCGTGTATTATCGGTTAGGGGTAGGTACTTACCTACTTCCTGCCCGGAAAACGATCTCCCTTCCGCGACAGGTTTATTTTTATTTGTTTGTAACTTACACCCCCTCCCATCATACGTACGTGTATGAGTACATAAGTCGCTTATCTTAATCGATTTGTATAACAGAGAGAACAGATAAATATAAATACACAGCGGTAACTGTGTAAAAAATGATTGCCAAACAAATAATTTTTTTTTTAAATATAAACGTGTAAGTTAGTATGTTTGCCAGTCGTTTTTATTACACACGCGAATTAGGTACATGCAAAGTAAAATGTCGAATAATCACGCGTTCGAAGAAAAAACACGGAAAAATAGTTTTCAGTAGTTCTCCATCTTATTATGTGTTGAAAGCTCTTCGCCGGAGCTGGACGCAAAAATAATATATTCTCAAAGATGACAATTTAAAATTTTAATACACATAATTATATTTATTATAAGGTGATTTCGGACTCTATTTTTGCGTAGGCATTCCTAAACGTATCGTGCCTACACCTACTACCTAGGTATTTTTACTGGCTACTATAACATATTCGTCTCGTTTTCGTTTTCTTTTCATATTGTACAATATCTAAATCGACGAACCTATTATAATATATATTATTTTTATATAGTCAACTAGATTTTATTCGACGGAATTTACAGTCAAATACCTCATAATATAGTAATAATAATTATAATTATCTTAATATGTAGTATATACTATATGTAGGCTTTACACTTGCACAATACAAATCATTATATTACATTATTAAACATGTTGTAAATTGTTAAATTTTATACGAAACTTGTTATTAACTTCGTTTAGTATATTATGTATAAACCATTATTTGTCTTTTGTGATAATAGAATTAAGACTGAACATAAATTAATCGTTTAAAAATGAAAAAAAAAAACATTTTTACTAATTTATTTGGTCTCAACCTAATTTAGGTGCACCTTCTAACAGGGTCACGCGTTTCTTGCATAAACTTTGTAGAATAATATTATTATAATATATTATATAAAGGCACTTTTAAATTTTTTTATTAAATCAACTCAAAATCAGTGTGCCAATTATTATTATTATATTACATTCAATTTGTTATGAAATTAGATATAAAAATAACTTTGCATTCATTTTGTTGTAGCTGAATGGCTTGTATTCAGAATTCAAATGTGTTGTCGTTATTAGCGATACATTATTTGAACATTTTATCTAAAAATATTAGTTTGTTTCTTTGAATTATAAAATGTTGAATAGGTACCTATTTAACAAAATTTTTGTCTGAATAAGTAAATAATTTAACATTTGAAAATACTATATTTGTGTATTTTTTTTATGAACCTTATCTATTCAATATCCTATCATAATTATTCTTTTTTATTTTATAATGATTGGTGAGTATAATTATAGTCTAAAAGTTAGAGTCATACTACTCATAATTAATATACTATTTTAAATATTCGGTAATAAATATCACATCATACATTTTATATTAAATTTATTATGAAATGTGATAGTATTTTTAAATGTATAAGAATTAAGGATGGAATGAAAATATAGCGTATGGGTATGAGTGAGACATGGTAAAGCTCATTCTGTAAAAATAATCATAAGTTATAAGTTATAACTAGTTTTTTTTTAACACTATTAAACTTATTGCTACAATTTTTTTAATATTTTTTTGAACTCAAAGAACATTACACTTTCATAAACTATAAACATTAAATATTTATATCAATTTTATGTAGGTTTACAATTATTATAACTAACTCATTCAGTGTTCTAATTCTAAAGTATACTTGATTAATGATTATTTAAGTTTTATATAGCAGCTACTAAGCTATATAATTGTTGGCAACATTCAAAATCAATGTAATTAAGAATACCTATTACTACCTAGATAATTTAATACCATAATGTTATATTTTATAGCAGTACAGGTCAAAGCTTATTATAATGTAATAAATAAAAATATTAATTACTAAAATTTAAATAGTAATCATTTGTAACATTTGATAGTACCTAAAATAGTTTAACAAATATGCTATTCATAAAAGAAAAAATTTAAAATATGAAAGTGAAAACTTTAAGTACCGAAATTTGGTAGCTTACTAAAACTCAATTAAAAAATGATCATTTTAATAGAAAATATATGATCATTTTTTTTTAAAGCTGAAAAATTTGTATTTTAAGATTAAAAATGAATATTATCTTAAGTTGTTTAGTTTTTATTTTAATATTTAGCATCCCTATATGCACTTTTAAAATTGTAAAAGATACATGTTATACTGCTTTACTTCGACAGTAGTTTGTAATCTTTTGAACCACAACTAAGTTATTAAACATGCAAATAGATATTTTTTTAACTATTATTGATACTTTTCAGACTTATTAAATGAAAAAATAAAATAAAATGTTGGTAAAATAATTATATTTATTAATATTTGTAAATAGTAAAAAAAGGAAAAAAATTGTGCATAGATTACTTTTTTAGTTGTTTGTTCTTCCTAAATCTTTTTTTGCCAATAATTTTTGGTTTTTGCTAATTAACAAATGACAAAATAGTGTTAATAAATAGAATATTAAATAATTAAATGCAAGTTCAAACTTATACTTACAGTCGATTCACTTTTTACAGCTTTTAATGCATCTATATACATTTGTTCATATTGTTCCAAGTCAGAAAGTTTAACTTTCATATTTTTCAGATTAGTTTTACCCGCTGAGTTTAAAACATTTTCAAATAGTTCTTTCTGTAGTAAAAAATCAATTTTAAATAATGAAAAATTAAATAACCAAAATAAAATATTAAAGTAATAAATTTACATGTTCAGGAGTGACAAATGTAATAGCTTTCCCTTTATGACCAGCACGTGCTGTTCTACCAATTCTATGTATATAGTTTTTTGGATATTTTGGTACATTATATAAAATGACACAAGATATTCGCTCAATATCTATGCCTCGAGCTAATGAATCTGTGCAAATTAATCTATAACAATAAACCAAAATAATAATTACTAAAAGATTGAAATTAAAGTATATAAGAAAACTTACATGTCAATTTTTCCATCTGAAAACTGTTTAATATAACTAGAATGTGCTTTTTGAGATATATCAGAAGAAATTTCATTTACTCTTAATGGCAAATTATTTTCATCAAATTCACTGAGTTTGCATAAAAGTCGAGTTAAACGATGCACTTCTATTTTTGATTTGACGAAACAAATTACCCTTTTCAAGCCTTTACTTCTTATCAAATGATACAGTGTTAAAGGTTTATTTTCTTCTGGACACAACACCATATATTCTTTGAGTTCATTGGGTGTTGTGTATTTTCCTACAAAGTCACCTCGTACAGGTTCATCTGTGATAGTTGTATCTATTATAAATTTAAATTAATTAAGTTTTAAACTTCATTATCTTTATCATGTTTAAGTTAAAATTACCTATAGACAATTGTGTATTTTTTCTTTTTACAATTGATGTAAATAATTTAGGTTCAAAAAGTTTAAGAAACTTTAATTTTTCAGGATCTTGAGTAAGTGTTGCTGAAAATAATAATCTTTGTGTTCTTTGTGGAAATTTGTTTAAGGTATTTAAAGTACATATTGTAGGTCCATTGTATGCTAAACAAAAATAGTGTTTCAATCTGTTTAAACATTTAATTAACTATAGTAAGAAGTAAAATAGTTAATTATGTGAATTACCTAAGCTATCATTAACTTTACATAACCAATCATTTTGCAATATATTGGTAAAACTATCAGCTTCGTCTAAAACAAGAAACCTAAGGTTTTTTAGAGAAAATCCTTCAGTATAATATAAATGATCAACTAGTCTTCCTGGAGTAGTCACTAGGATATCTACAAGGTCTATCCATCCAACACTGCTATCTATAATTATTAAATAGCAATTGAAATATTTAAATTTGTAAATTATATGGGTTTCTATTATTTAAAATTTGAGTACCATATTGCAAGATCCTTTCTTTTTCTTTTTCTAAAGTCATATTTTTTGATTCTAAAAGAAGTACTCTTAAATTAAATGCGTTTTTAATATAATATAAAAACACTTTGAAAACTTGAACAGCCAAGTCTTTGGTTGGCAAAACAATGAGAGCACGAAGTTGATGTCCAGAGAATGTTTTTAATGTCTAAAGTAAAATAAAAATATAAATCATTGATTATGTTGAATTAATTTTCTTAATGAGTGGGTATACTAGACCTGTATAATAGGAAGAACATAAGAGAGAGTTTTTCCACTGCCAGTTGGTGCTGAGATACACGCGTCTCTGAGCCATCTATAGTCCCAATGTTTTTGTGTCTTAATTATCCATGGAACTAGTTGATTTTGAACTGCAATAGACATGTATAGTGATAAAACTGTGATGAAAACTAAGTTAGGATTCAAATTACCTGGGAAGAAATGTGTACATCCTTTATTCTTTAATTTCTGAACTAAAGCGGGGTCTAACTCTGGAATGCCGTCAATGGGCACTTCTAGGTTTTTTAAATCGACTGATACAATAGTAGGTTTGGCAAGCCAGTCTGGTAGAACTCGTTTTACCTATACATTTGAAATAATAAAATATTAACATATGTAATATTTAGTCAAGATTCAATAAATAGAAATCGTAAATGGAGTTTTTAATACCTTTTTATTTTTCTTGAATCCGTGGGTATCTATTAACGTAAAGTCTGATGCTGGTATCGAGGTGTCCATCGTCATAATTCAGTCATACGTCACGACAAGTATAGATATGATTGACCAGTTATTTAATTTCAACGAAAAATAATACATACATGGAATCAGTAAAATCAGTAAATGGAACAATCGATCATCAGTAATCGGCAATTACGGCAAAAAGTAATACCGTAAAAAAACTTAAAAAACCTAACTGTACACGTGCGTTAACTATATTATTGTTTTTGGACCATTGATGGCTGTTAACAGTATCACCAGTAGATAAAGATGTATGTTAACATTATCTATGGTATCACCAAAAAATGATTACCTTCTATTCCATTTATGTGTAGATGTTCTAGAGTCAATTTGTACGAATTGAAGTAATATCCAAAAATATATTACTTGATCCACGATGTTGAGAATATTTATTTTCTTCTCTACATCATGATTTAATGATATTTTTATTCAGATGCTTATTTAATAGTATTTATACCGAGTAATATTGCAATGACTAATAATATTTTTTTATAATCTAGGCTACTATAGCCAATACTTCCAATATTCTGAGTGTAGCAATAATACGATGTATATATATTTTTAAATCAAGAGAATTTTAAGCCAAGGAAAAAAAACAAAAAATACAATAAATATAATTTGTATATTTTCGTATATTACAATTTAATTAAATTTTTATATTTTTATTTGTGTTAATATTAGATTGTATTAAATATTATTTCTAATTTTCTAGTAAAATTTAGGTAATTAATTCAAAAGACTAAGAATTCTAGTATAATAGTACTTATATACCACAAAATAAATAAATAATAAGTGTAAATTAATGAAATAAAGAACATACAAATAAAAAAATTGTATAAAGAAATAATAATAAATAGAAAAATTAAACTTTTTAAATAGACTTTTGATTTTTATATACTGATTGTATAAAAATAATTTGATTAGCCAAATAAGTTAAAAATAAATAAAAATTTAATTAGTAAAATAAAGTGATGGTAGTTAAAAAGTTTTCAATGTCATGTGTACAACATTAAATATATACTGACATAGTTGTTTTTTTTTAGCTAAATTTGTGTTTTTGTGTCTTTATTGTTGTAGTACCTACTCCTACCTTTTAAGATAGCTTAAATTCATTAGCTGTCACTTTTAATCTTATTTTTTATATTAGAGTTCCAATTGTAGGTTAAGTTTGTTCTATTAATTTACTGAACCATGATATCATCATACAGTCAAATTGTTAATGTGTTCTACTGTTCTATATCATTCAAAGTTTAATTATGATCCATAATTGTTATTATAAATAAGTAAGTAATTTCTTAATACTATTTTGTTGTTTTTTTTCCGACTTGTCTGTACTTACTATGAAAAAATACTCCTTAAATATAGCAGAAGTATAAAATATTTAATCACAAATATTTTTAATATTCTTTTTTTATTCAATGAGAAGGGTTATCAGGATTGGATTGGAGGCCATAATTATTGTTTAAAGGTTTATTGAAGAGATTTGGCAAAATCAATACTAAATATATAAACAAATATTTAATTTTTGAACATCATTATATATTGTCACTATGTTAATAACATAATAATATTTTCCACAAATTAATGATTCAAACCTATTTTGGATATTTTCAACAGAAAATTATTATATTTTTGTAAATTTGTATCTATTCCTTCACAAACTTACTAATGTTATTAGAATTTAAAAAATTGTTTTTTTAATTCATTCAATTCATCTATATTTTAATAAAAAAAAAAAAAGAAAGTTAAATTAATAAATTAGTAATGAATAATGATGTATAACTAGATAAAAAATTATATTAAAAATTACTTTGGTCCAGGTTGGATAATTGTAGTTTTTCAGTTTTTTCTCCAGTTATTGAATTTTCTGTTATTGTTTCAACACATTTTTTATTTCCATCTTTCATAATAGTTACTGTTTCAATAATTCCATCTTGTAACTGATTAGTAGAGGTTTCTTTTTCAATTATTCTGCCATTATAGTTTTTAGATATATAAGAAGACTTTGAGGTTGACCAACCAGACTACAAATCAAATATTATTTAATTATTATAAAAAAGGTAAGATTTAAAATCCAAAATTTTAAATACAATAAGTGTTTACTTTTGATTTTCGAAAAATTTTTTTTTTATACATTCATATTTTTATATACTATAGTCCTCAACTATAATTTTATTATATTTTATATTTGTTTAATTTTTTTTTTTTTTTTTTTTTATGAAATTTAAATTTCTATAATTATTATCTTAATAGTTAATATAAAATAAAATACATAAAGTACAACAAACTAATTAAAATCATTTAAAAATTTAATAAATTATACGTAACAAACCTTTTCAAAATATTGTGATCCAGAATTATTTATTGTTATGTTTAATGAAGAATCATCCAAAGGTTTTGAAGGTCTTGAACTGATATATTATGTTCAATTTCAAAAATAATCAAAAATGTTTAAAATAAAGAATAAATAAAAAACTGAAGTTACTTACCTAGGATTAAGAAAAGTACTTTGTGCTATAAAATTTTTTTTTGGTATACCATTAATATGTTCTTCATTTGTTGATTGATTGATTGGAACTAAAATATAAATAAACATTAGTTATTTTAAAGTTTGAATGAAAGATATCTTTATCAAAGAATTTCTAAAAAATACTCCGATATTTATTTTTATTTTTAAAACATATTGGACATGCCAATGAAAAAAACAATTTCATTATAAGTATTTGAGTGAATTGTACAATAGGTTTATTAAGATCTCACTAATAAAGTAATACATAAAAATGCAAATTCAACTAAGAAATGTTTGAATTATTTTACAAGAAGGAATTGAGCACAGATATTTTTTTATTTAATATCAGACATAATATTAGGTTAAATTTTGATTAATAAAATTGATAATTAACAGATTAAATTAATCTCGATGAAATTTGATTGAGTTGAAAATCATGAAGGTAATAAAGACTTAATAAGTACAAAGAAAGCTAAATATTTTGTGATTAATACTATAGTAAAAGGAAGTTATGATTTACCACCTCTAATTTATAGACAAATGTGATAAATTATATCAGACAAAAGCAAAGTTTATATTACTAGTAAAAGTTCAATGAAAAGGTGTTTGCAATGTATTCATGGTAATATTTATCCAATTATTTCAAAAATAAAGTAGTATAGAGTATGATCGGTGCAAATAATTCAGAGCACTTTTTTTTTTTTTTATGAGAATTAAAATAATGGAAACTTTATTATAATTTTCTATTGCTTTATTGTATTATCACAAACTAAAATTGTATAAATGGAAAAAACATTTTCAAATTGTATATACTTATTACAACCATGTTTAAGAAATATAATTATCCTTGTAATGTGTTCGTTGCTTCAATGTCAAAATAAAGAAACTTATACTGAACTATTGATTACTATAAAAAATACATTCAATAATTTCAATCAACTTTGTAAATTCTACTATACTAGTAATTAAGCAAGTATATTTAAGTATCTATACAGTTGTGTTTTTATCATTTAAATCAATTTATCTGTCATAAAGTTATACATATTTAAAAAACAAATATTGTAAGTGTTTTTTTATTCTGTTTTACTTTTTTGAGATATTAACTATAGTTATTAACTTATTATAATATATATTTAGTTAAGATGATTAAATATTATGTATACAATATTACATTGCAACTTATAATTAAAATATTTAAATATACTGGTAGTTGTATAAAGTTGTAAAAAGTACAATGCATAATACAAATACAACTTTAATTTCAAGGACGAGGATATACTTTACTGGACATATAAGTTTTATTATTGTTCAAATAAAAAAATTAGACTTATCTTAAAATTTGAGCAACAATAAATTAATTTTTAGAAAAAAAATAATTATTTAGATGAACATTTAAGTTTTTTCATAAAATAATATATACCTATTTATTTATTTATTTTTTAGAGTAAAATTAAAAAAGTTCATAACGTTTTAATATCAAAGTATAAGGGCTGCAAATAGATTCTTGCATATAAACAATTACATGATTTCTAAAATCTAGTTGAAGCTCTACATATTAAAATTTTAATAATGACGTTTTCACCATACATGTTAGGAAATTACATCCCTACCTAATTAATTATTATCCTTAAATTAACTTAAAAAAATACTTACTCATAGAAATACCAGATTCATTAATATGATTTTGGAAATTTTGAAATTCTAATTCCATTAGTCTAAAGATATCTTCAAGATTAAAGGTGTTTCTATCATTTTCAAATTGGTTTCTTCTATTAAATGAATCTATAAATTTTATTATGTTATTATCAAACATAAATAATCATAAAATATGTAAAACAATTACCAGTAAAATCATTAATTTTTAAATTATGCATTTCAGCGTTAACATTTTCAGCATTAATATTTTCAGCATCTCCAGTAGGTAGTTGAAATTCTGAAGGCAAATCCGAACTAAAAAAAAATATCAACCATAGTACATTAAAATAGACAAATGCCTATTTTATTTTCAGTTTTCAATAAAAATTACTTGGGCTTTATGATATCGATGTTAAATATTTTATTAATCCAATTTAAAATACTCATATTAGCTAGTAAATAGTAGGTGTAAACAGTTTAAAAAAAATCAAATGTTAATTTAATTGATCAACTCGTAGTTTGAATTGATGAGCAGATAATTTATTTAAATCTGTAAGACTATACTAGCATACTGCATTACTACCATAAAACATTATGTTCTATGCTACTACCATGGACTAAATAGTAAATAAATGGATGAGTGTTACCGAACATTTATTTTTACTACAAAATATTTTTGGCTTTTTTGGTGTTGCAATTAATTAAAATTTATAGCTCAATATTATGTTTACTGTTTAGTGAGTTTAAATAATATCAATTATTATCCACAGTACACAGGCTTTTTCATAATATGACGAAATAATAAAATTTTAAATTAATAATTTTAATTGTTTTATCACGGCCTGAAGACTATCATTGTGATATCAGTCAGTACTCAGTAGCCTGCGAAGAATATCCATTCGTGTAAATCGTACACTTAGATCATATGATCTAAGATCGTACACCAAGTGATAAAATTACTTCACCACAGATGACCACGGTCAAATATAAAAACCCATCAAGAAGAGTTTTTTTATTATCCTTGATAATCGAACAAAAACAAAATTCCAATGTTTATCTTTTTCCGTTTATCGCTTTACTAATTCTTTCTATAATAACACAAGTTGATAATTACAGAGTACGGTACTACACTACTACGGTGTCATACTACTCATACTTACTCATTACGTTAATGCTTTCCGTTCTTGGGTGTAATTTTTATTGAAGGTAGTCGGTTTTTTTATATGAGAAATTAACCGACACAACGTGGTAGTTACGTTGCATGCGTGTAGTTTTTTCGTTAAAAAAAGAAATATTTCTCGTTGGTACTGGAAAACGTTTCCTGTTGCTGTACATCTGAATACCGTAGCAGTTATTCTCGCGACACGTACAATTAATACAACGTTGTGTACGATCAAATTATGCTACGTCTATATAAATACTGAAGAAACACAATGCGGTCCATTATTTTAATTGGTGAGTAGTATCTGTTGACTTACATAAACTTTAAACGTTTTTGTACACTGTGTTTAGTCTTGGATTACAAGTACAAAATATCTGAAAAAAAATGAGCGGTATCGATGATTGCTGAACACTTATAGGGATTATCACTTTGTATTGGTTTATCACCTATTTGAATATCTCTAAACAGTTAACGTCTAAATTAACTATTTTGTTTTTAAGTAAATCTTAATTTGGTATGTATTTGTGGGTATTATTTGTATACTTTTGGGTCTATTGTTTTTAATTATATTAACCAAAATTATTACTTCCTAATTGTTATAACAATAATTTTAAATATTTATGATATGAATTTTAAGAGGACGTTAAACCTGCATGTGTTGTTTCTGTCTTACTAACATCAAACATTACTTAAGCTTTTATTGACATTTTTATTTTAAAGTTATAATATTTTACATAACTATAACTTACTTAAAAAAATTATCAATAAAAATTTACGTAATACTGTAGGTAATATTTTTAACTTTAAATTTGATAATTGGTGATTGATTCTTATATTAAAGCTAATAACATTAGTTAAATTTTACTGAATTTAATTTACTATGACGCATGTTAATAAGACATAGACAACATATGCTGATAAGACATTCTCTTAAGTTAAATAAAAATAATTTACTATTTAAACACATTAGGAGCTTACTTATTTATCCTACTCTTTAATTTTTGAATAAATTATTTAATAAACTTAGTTTTAATGTTATGATAATCTGAAGTTATTGGTATTAAGATTGTTTAAGCTTACTATAGTTTAGTATTTTTAAACGTAGTTAAATCTTATAATGTTTAATATTTAAAAAAGATTCTCAGTATAATTATTGAAAATTACATTGATTTAATAATTTATTAAAAAATAAGTTAGGTTCAGTTATCTTCAAATTAAATATTTATTTTTAAGAGAACTTCACCTGCTAACAATTTATGAGATAATAAAAGTTCGACTTTAACTAGTTTTTGCAATTTCAATTTGGTTTTCTTGCTACTTTAGCTTAATTAGTTTTGAATGTTTGACCAAGCATTTATATTATTATTTAATAAACTTGAAGTAATTTTCAAAATATTGTAGTTTTTATTGTGCTACCTAATTTTCTACATTTTCAGTAAAATAGTTTTAAAATGTAACAAAGGTCTCTTCTAAGTTTTTACTTAATTGAAAAAAATCAAAGGTACAATAATCACAATTTTTTCATAAATATTAAAATTTTAAAAAGCTCATCAAAATCACAAATATTTATAAATTATTGTGTTGTTAAAAATTCTACTTTGAACATTAAAGTTAAAATAATAGAGTTAAGTGTGAATTTCAACAGTTATTTTTAATTTGAATTTATAATTTTATGATTGTTTTCTTAAAAATTGTTTGATTATTGAGGGTTTAAGCATAATATATCATCATATAATTCTTGATGTTCATCAAATATTTTTTCAAGACTAAACTTGTTGCTAATTAGTGATAAATAATATTATAAATCTTTATTTTAAATCTTATTAGGGTTATTATCTGGTTTATAATATATACTTTCACCACCAATTGCTTTTCTATTCCATTGTTCTTGGATTTTTATTTATAAATTTATAATGTGCACTCTTTTTACCAGTCCAGATTTAGAGTAACACACTAAGATTTTCTCAGTAAATTCCGAGTTAAATGTGGGCCTAAAATAATTAAGATTGAATAATACATTACTAACTTAACATTGTTCAATGTAGATGATTCACCTTAAATTTAAGGTGACTCAAAACTTAGTTATGTAAGTGTGGTTTAATTGAGTAAAAATGTTGGTTTAATATTTGTACAATATTAATTTAGCCTATAACATGAAGTTGTTCATATAAAAATGTATGGTCAGGTCAATAGAGTATTTTTATTCATTTTATTGTAAATAAAATTAATTACATTTATTGTTGTTATACAAAATGGAATTTATAGCCAATGGCATTTTTTTGTTATTATTTTTTTTTTTATCATAATACAATAGAGTGACACATGACAAGTTCATCATGACTAGATACGTGAATTGATTAATTAAAAATGTTAAGGATATTCCTAAACAGGAAATATAGTACAATGATCAATAAAGAGTTAGTGATATTTTTATCTTATAGTGTTTAAGTTAAAAAAAAAAGTATACTATCCATTTTATTTTAATTTATTAGAAATATGAATCATTAGTGTGTAATAAATAAATAAATAATTTTGTTAGAAATAAATCTGTTATAATTATAATTTTTATAAGTTTTTTACTATTTGTATTTTGAATATTGTACTTGGGAATCCTTAAAAATTCAAACTTAATCAAATTTCAATCGTTCTAAGGAATAACTTTAATGCCCTTTGGTATATCAGAAATTGATATCTACATCATAATTTCAACATATCTAAAATGTCCAAACTTATTTCTCATCACTTAAAAGTTTTTATATAAACTCCTTTAATCACTTAAACCACCTCATATCCAAATTTTTCTCTGAAAAACTACCTGACAACCCTCTGTCATCTAAAACGTTAACATGATCTATAATATAATCTATAACAAATTATTCCTCCCAAGTTCATAAATTGGAAATAGCGCCAATAAATGCTTTCTTTCCTCGTGTTTTCTAATTTTAATACACTAATTGTCAATATATTTATTTATTGTATTATTTTATATTTACAGATTGTAAATGTCTTTTATAAATAAATAATATAAAAATATATTATATATTGCATTTATTAATGTAACATGGAATTAATGAATTATGTGTTTTATTTTCAGTAAATATATTTGTACATTTAATATGCACAAACACTCAGAGGCCTGCTGGAGGCGTATATAGAGAAGGATATTTTAATAGTTCATCATGGTTAAATTTATTTCCTCCTATTTCACTGTACAAGCATGTAGGATTCAGCTTTAGGACATGTTCTGGAGGTCAAATATTTTCTCAAACACAAGACTTACCATATACTCGAATCTCAGTAGATGTTCTTCATGATGGCTTGTTGTTTACTACATTTCTCCAAAACAAACATTTTGAATCAAAAATCCAGGGTGATTTTTTTGATAATTCTTGGCATAATGTGAATATGATTTATAAGCTTGGAGAATTAACAATATCTGTTGATGGCTCACAACAAGTAAATAATTGTTTATTTATATGTATTTGAAATCAAAGTAATCAAAAACTATTTGAAATACATACTTACATCATAATTTTTTTTTCAGGTTATAGCAAATTCAACATTTAATTCAGAAATCTTAAATTCTGAAATTGCAACTGATCAATCTATGTTAAGAGTAGGAGATGGTTTTGAAGGTTGTTTATTAGAAGGCCCAAATTTTATTTTTAATTCATCTTTAAATCAAGTTTATAAAGTTATTTGGGGACATTGTCCCTTAAATAGTCAGTCATGTATGCACATTTAATATTTAATAATTTGGTATTTATTGGTTGTCATGATTACATATACAATTTTCCGGTAAACTATTTATATTATGCAATTATCATAAGTTAATTCTACATTAAATTATATTAAAATAATTTGAAATATTAAATAATATAAGTAGGTCTGCCCAACAAAATTTAAATCTTAAACTAAATAAAAGCTTTGTATGACTGCTTATAAACTATTTCCATGTAATATGCATTTTTATCTAAAAATCTGAGGCTTTTCATGAAAATGAAATTTGCCATGACTTTTTGATTGAATATTAACTATATTATTTTATCTAAGGAACAAATATATATGGGTCACAAAATCAAATTATATTTAAGAAATGCATACTTATGCGTGTTGTAGGCATTTGCAAGAAATTGGCTTTTTGGTATATGTCTTACTCTAGTGTCAATGGGCAAACTTAATTATATTATTTATTCAGTTAGGATTACAAAATTATCTTAAAATAATATATTATGGTATTAATTTGCAGTAGTTTGTAGTCACAATTGAGTTTACTGAAAAATTGTATCACAGTTACTAATAAGTACCAATTATCTTTGTATCTTGTGTGTATTTAATATTAACTATTAATTTGCAGGTACTGGTATTGATTACTGTTCTCACGCTCCTTGTATGATGCATGGAGTATGTGTTCCTAGACAGAATAAATACCACTGTATTTGCCATCCTAGGTATTCTGGAAATAACTGTGAAATTGATAATGGTAATTCTAATATTTTATTTTTAGTATCTATTTTATAAATTGTAATA